CCCGCAGCCCCGCGCGGCTGCTGCGCCCCCTCCTCCTGCTGCTCCGCGCCCTGGCGCTCGGCGCCCCCGGACCCGCACCAGGTGGGTGGCCGCCCGCCGGCCCGGCCCGCGCTCGGGCTCGCCAGCCCCGGTTCAGCCCCTCGTCCCTTTCGCGGACCCGGTGCCCCCCGCGGTTGGGGTCGGGCTGGGGCGGCCGGCCGGGGCGAGGCCGCGCCTCCGGGGACCCTTCCCCAGCCCGGCCCTCCCGTCGCCGGGCACGGCCGGTCCCGCTCGGGCTGCGGGCCCCGGGCGCGGCAGGGCAGGGCGCGCATCTCCCGAGCGGCCCCGCGCGGGACTCGGCTTCCCGCGCTGCTGCGGGCGGGGCCGGGTGGCGGGTCCACGCGGGCCCCTCGCGGCGCCCCCGGCCCGGCCCCGCCCGCGCATCTGGGCTCGCGAGGCCCTCGCACTTCCTGCCTCGCCCTCCCCCAGCGCGGCGGCCGAGGGGGCGCGGGAGCTTCTTCCCCGCCCTGGGCTGACCCCCGCCCGCCGCCGCCGCCGAGCCTCGGCCCGGTCCAGGCTCTGGTTCGACCGCGACCTGCCGCGCAGCGAGGGAGCAGGAGACCCGGGCCGGGGTCCGACGGGGCGGGGGCAGCCGGAGGGGTGGGCTGGACCAGAGCAGGGCGCGAGGGCGTCCGGGCGTCCGCCCGGGTTGCAGTGGGCCTGCTTACCGGGATGGGGTCCACCCGCCTCCCCAGTGCGGGGTCGTGGCCAGAAAAGCGTCTGGGCCGGAATGTGGGGGACATTTGAACCCGTTGAGGGGAGCAGCTGATGAAAGCAGCGTTTTAGGGAGCTTTGGTCTGGCAGCGACCAGCAGGGAGTGGCGAGGAAGCAAACGTTTAGTGAGCACCTACTGCATGCCAGCCTGTTTCTCATCATCTGCACAGCCCTGCAAGGCAGGTGGTGGAAAGTCCTTTTATGGACGAGGAAACAGGCTCAGAGAGTGGACTGACCCCTTGGGGCTGGAGTCCTGGCTTTCTGGAGGAAGCCGGTGTTTTCCCACTGCCCAGGATGAGGATGAGCCCGGTGATGGGGCTGAGGGAGCAGGAAAGCCGCTCCCCCAGGAATGAACTTGGGTTCCGGCCCCCTGGCAGCTGTGGGAAGCGAGGGGGTGGCCCAGCTGGTAGGATTCTCAGTGTCGGTTGCCTAGTGCAGGGCAGAGTGGTCACCGTGTAACGGCCATTATTTTTATTAATCTGCCAGGTAGACCCAGCAGGGCCAGCGGTCCTCGGTGGGTCCTGCAACTTGGACCTGCTGTTGGGGGTGGGGGCAGGCCAGACACCCTCCCCGACCTGCTCTGGGCACAGCCTCCCCCAGGGCGGAGCGTCTGTCTCTAGTGTCCCGTCTGTCTCTCGTGTCCCGCAGTTTTGTAGTGCAGGGCCCTCCCCATTCTGCACTCACTGGGGACTCGGGTCAGGGAGGCTGCTGACCTCTTTGTCATTGTCTTTGGAGCCTAGGACCTAAGCCCGGGGCTCTTCCCGCCGAATGCCACCTTGAGACCAAAGGGCACACCCTGGGCTCACTTTGAGGAAAATGTATCCTGGCTTTTTCTCCACCTGTGACAAACCCAGGGACTCCCTAGGGTTGCTGGGACCGGGGCCCAGTCAGGTCTCCCCCCACCCCCCATGCCGCACTGCACACGTGAGCGCCGTGTGCATGCAGCTCCGTGTACACACTGCGTGCACAGGGACTCACGAGGAGTGTGTGTTTCACTCACGTACGCCGTCCTGGCCTACTTTCCTCTGTGGCCTGAGCTGCAGGTCGTTTGAAGGGCTGGATTGCAGCTCGGGTTCCTAACAGGGAGGTGAGGGTGAACACCGTGTTGGCATTTCTCTGGCAGAAGCACCACAAGGACAGTTCTGTCACCCAGGGGTGACAGTCAAAGTACTTAACACCCAGGGGGGCAGGAGCTCAGTCCGGTCAGGACAGACTCATCCATGAACTGCTGCCGTCCCGCTGTGGCTTCAGCGGGGCAGGCTCAGCTCTGTGCCGGTACCGACGGTTTGCTCAAGGCACTGGGACTGGCACTATTACTTGCTGGCATGAGAGGTGCTGGGTTCAGCCACGAACATCTCTACCAGGGGCAACTGTAGGCATCAGTGAGAGAAAGTTATTTTGTTTCTTACTTGCCTCTCCTGCCCTTAAAATTATTTACTTACTCATTTATTTTTTTAGAGACAGGGTCTTAACTCTGTCACCCAGGCTCGAGTGCAGTGGTGAGGTCATAGACATGCATGCCTGACTAATTTTTCTATTTTTTTTGTAGAGATCGAGGGGAGGGGGGGGGTCTCACTATGTTGCCCAGGCTGGTCTCGAACTCCTGGCCTCAAGTGATCTTCCCACCTCCTGAAGTGCTGGGATTACAGGTGTGAGCCATTACACCTGGATAAAAATATTTTAGTGGCAAAACAATACAAGTTCATTATAAAAAAATTAAAACTGAACAAAACAAGAAAATAAAAATTATTGCAATCAAACTGGCAACATCCTATAAGTCTTTATTTTTTCTTTTTGATTAAAAACATTTTATGAAGCCATTAGGCAAAGAGATAAAATGAGTTTTTAAAGAAATAGATAAATATACTTTAGAACTTTTCTTGCTAATTTTCAATAATGACTTAGCTCACATTTGCTACGTGCCAACTATTGTCGTAAGCACTTACATACTAACTCATTGAATTCTCACACGCGACAGAGAGTAGGTATAATTGTTACCATCCGTGTTTTACAGACGGGGAAACTGAGATTCTGAGTGGTTGAGTATTTACTGGTGGTCCTGCAGCTGTGTGTAGCAGAGCTGGGATTCAAATTCAGGCCAGCTCCAGAGAACACTAATCCGAATGCTTTTTACCTGCAGCTCAGCTCTGCTTAGCCCTGCTCACGTTTTTGAACTTAATAGGACTTTTTTTGTGACTCACCTTGAATTTCTATCTTGCGATATTTGCCCAAGGTCTGCAGCAGGGGTTCTCACCCAGACTGCACTCCTGCGTGCGTGGGCTCCTCCCCAGGGACACTTCTTCCAGCTCCTGGGGCCGTTGCTCCCCGGTGGTTGATTCCTCAGCCACATGCGTGCTCTTGAGGACAACACCGTGGCCTAAACGTGTGCCCTGTAGCTCGCGCAGTTGAGAACTTCAGGGCTGGCTGGCGTCAGCGCCCCCGACCGTCGCGTGTCTCTCGCTGGTTGGCTGTGGTTGTCCTTGCCTGGGACCAGCGTGCGCACCCAAGCAAAGCCCTGGAGTCCTTGCTGTTGCTTCTCCGTCTCTGTCGTTTTCATCACCGCCTGGGCTCCCCTCCTTGTTTTCTGGCCTGGAGTCTCTGCCCAGAAGAGGAAACTGAGGCTCAGCGATAGGAAATGACCCAGATCATACAACCATTCAGTGGCCCGGTTGGGACCTGGGGCTGGGTCTTTCTGCGTGCAAAGGCTGTGCTCTTGACCGTGTTTGACTTTCTCACCCCGCCGTGTCTCATTGCCTGAAACACACTCCCGGGCCGAGACTAACTTCCTGCTGCTGTTCTCACTCCTAGCTTTTCCCTGCTTCCCTGAGGGTCTGTCAGACCGTGCCTGCCACCCAGACGCCCTCCTCATCGCCTCGGTTGAATTTGTCCCCGTATGTCAAGTGACATCTCACCTCACGTGCACCTTCTTTTTTTGTTTTTTTGAGACAGAGTCTCACTCTGTTGCCTGGGCTAGAGTGAGTGCCATGGCCTCAGCCTAGCTCACAGCAACCTCAA